TAGAAAAGAGCATAACCAAACATGTAATGTGAAAAACTTGGAATGTAAGCAATGGAAGTATCAAGTATATCCAAAAGGAGGACTGAACTTACACTATTTAAAAGTCTCAAGCCAGCCTCCAATGTTTAAAATTTTTCTTCCAAGGAAGAAATTTTGTAATTGTTTTTTTTATATGTTCTTGAGCAAACACAGTTTTTCTCTGGACATTCACTGCTTTTTCGTTTATTTTTGGTCCAGTCCTTCCAGCTGACAATTTTCCAAGGAATGTTTTTTTTGTTGTTGTTGTTAACCCACTTAACACCGATTATATGACTCATTCATAAAAAGAGCACCTAACCCAAGGGATGAAACAGTGTTTTCTCAACACATAAGAGAGAACTTTGCACAGTTATAGATGGCATCTTTAGGCACTTTGTCATTTTGACAACACTGAGCATGTACAACCATCTGTAGAACACATTGGAGGCTGTCTCATGGTTTGGGGCTGCATTTCAGCCAGTGGTGCCGGGGATCTTGTTAAAAGTGATGGAATTATGAACGCAGAAAAGTACCATCAAATTTCAACCTACTATGCAAAACCACCTGGAAAGCATTCCATTGGCAACAGCTTCATTTTTCAGCATGACAATAATCTCAAGCCTACAGTCAATTCAGTAAAAGTATACCTGGATCTAAAAACACACAATGGAACACGATCAGTCATGGATTGGCCTCCCCAGAGTCTGGACCTCAACATTATTAAAGCAGTGTAGGATCCCCTTGACGGGGATTGATCTACCAACATCTAAAGAATGTGTTTTGAGAAGCCTGGAGAACTATTCCTGAAGACCACTTTTACTTGGTATACTGTTTTTTTTATAAATATTTACAGATGCTTCGATAAATCACTGCAAATATTTCCCATTATATTAGCAAAGCACAAGGGAATGAGAGGTGGTTTAAGACTTATGCACAGTACAGAACTATACAAAGTAATACTTTCTCAAGCTTTAAATTCACATTAGAGAAATAAATACAATTCTTTTTTCTTTTTTTTGGGCTTAGTCAATTGCACCAAAATATATGGTAAAGAATAACACTCTGCACTCCATTTATCCAGCCCTGGAATAAAATCGTATCTTTGAAGGTCTATCCCCTTCACAGCAGTGAGGGTAATTTGTCGCTAGAGCAGGGCGATATGGCCAAAAATATTTATCACGATATATATTTGAAAATTTGCGATAACGATATAACCGACGATATAATTGATGCGAGACAAAATACAACTCCACAACATTACTAGCGCAAAAAGACAACCTTCCATTTATTTTCACTTAAACAAGAAGCTGGTTTTTATGTACATTAAAGCTTTATAAAAATGTAACAGTGCAAATGCAAATTCCTTGCTGAAAGTTTAACCAAAAGGCAGTTCCAGTAGAAATGGGCTGACATATCCTGAGCATAACCATGTATAATATCCACTGAAGTTAAAAAGAGGTGCTTTGCAACATTAAACTGCAGTGTGCAGTACGTATTTTTCGGACCATAGGGTGCACGGGATTATAAGGCACATTAAGCGAAACAAAGCAGTCAGATAAATCAAACTTTATTAAACTCATTCTTCTTGCTTCCTCCACTTCTGTACCATTGATTTATTAATGTTGAATTCTCTGCAGCTGCTCTATTCCCATGTTGTTGCAGTATATTAATGACTAACCTCGCATTGTGGATGGATCTCAGTTGTTCTCCTGATTGAAGTTTGGTCCGTTTACAGCATCCTGCCATGCGATTGCATTTGTCTCTAACCATGAAGAACCTTCACGTTAACTTTTATAAGTGGAAAAGTGTTAGTGTTCGTCCTCCAGCTTCACTGTTTATGTTATGCTAACATAGCTGTGTCGCTAGCGATCACATAGCACATCATTATATACCAGCTAGCCCAACTTCAGTAACCCTACAAACGTCACTGCTGTTTAGTTTCCTGTCTTCATTTATGTTGGAAGTGATAGCAGAGCTGTACGTTTGATTTTTTTCAGAAATCTCTCAGTCAGAACATGCAATATCATGCTTAGATAACTAGCGAAACTAGCGAGCTAACTTCCGCTAGCTTCCTGCTAACTTCTAACTCCGTTAAATGTAATAACTTTTGTTTTCATGGATGCCTGGAAGTTAAACTTTATAGTTACACCTGATAAAGCAGCAATGCTGATCGTTTTATTAAAGATGAAAGGATTTAGACAGTTTTTAACTCTTAAGTGATGCTGCAGTGTTGTTTGACCTGAAGCATACGGAGTTTAGGACCCAGATTACTCCCAGATTTAAGAGCATCTTAGTCCGACAAATATGACAATAACAACGGCCGCTTGCATGTTCTGCAAAAAAAATGTGCTTTGTTGTGTATCTGACGGACAAACACCAAACCAGTTCCACATCACGGAAGTTGCACCATTTTTACAAACCAATTCTGGTTCATCTGTTTCACTCAACAATCGGCCATGTGCGTATGAAAACAAAGGCACTACGCATGCGCGTTTTACTCCCATTCTATCGCGATATTTCATTTTCCTATCGTTGCCTAACATTATACCGGTATTACCGTGAACGGTATAATATGGCCCAGCCCTATTTGTCGCTGCAGACAGATAAATAACTAGCACACTACAGAACGAGTTAATCAGCTCCACATCTTTTTATAATTGGCAGACATCATGACTAATTCAGACAGACTGTAGCTGCAGCTTGTACTCATTAATTTGTCACCTGTACAGTTGAATCCATTCATCACCCCATCCAGCACTCCTTTAGTGGTGTTCTCAAAAATGTCGACTTGTGTAGCATTCTCGTCAAAGACTAGGTCAAAAACAAACTTCAGGTCTTTGTTAGCCTTCTTATTGATGTTTCTGTTTCGTACTCTTTGTGACCCAAAGCACGACAAGTCCTCTTCTTTGGGGTCAAATATGAGCATGTGGTTATCGACGACCTGGACCACATTTCGACAGTTTTCCCGCTTTTCACTGTCATTGGCCGGCCTCACTCGAACAACAACCTTTACATGGCTGCACACATCACTCGCCATCTTGGTTTCCCTGCAAGGAATGAAGCATTACAAAACAAGACAACAAACAAATAAAATGTTAACTGGATTTCACAATCTTGAAAATATGCTGATAAAATTCAAACATGGTCTGAGGACTTTGAAGGCAGAGTTGAACTTGTTTTATGGTAAGCGAACAGCCTAAAAGTGTTTTCATACAGAATGCCACAGGAATGAGTTCTAAAAACTGGAAACACTTTAGCTTATTTGAACTTCCAGTTCCATCGTCTCAAAGTGCAGACTAAGGTCAGGTCTCACTGTAATTTATAATGTTTCTTGTCTGTTAACTACCAGACAAGCAATATGCACTCTGTGTAGAGCAAGGTTTCAACATTTGAAATCAGAGCAAGTCAAAGCTGTGCAAAGCTTGTGGTCAGAGATCTACATACACTCATCATGACTGTTCTTTTTCTAGAGTGAAATGATTGTACAGGACACATCTTTACCTACTTTAAAAAAAACAAGAATTGGGTGCACATGTTTGAATTTATTTGGGATTTATTTGAATCCAAACAGGGTCAAACATATACATACAGGTTCAAATATATAAATACACCCCCACACTAATATTTGGTAAAATGTCCCTTAGTAAGTTGCACCTCAGATGATTTTGGTAGCCATGCCAGCTTCTGGCATAATTTTGGCTCAATATTTGATCAATCTTCTAGGCAGAAATGGCTTTGGGTAGGCAATTCCACAAGCTTACTGTTTAGTGCTTTATCCATTCCAAAAGCAGTTTTTATGTGTGCTTGGGCTCAGTGTCCTGCTGGAACACCCAACTGTGACCATATTTCAACCATCTAACTGTTTATTTGAGATAAAGTTAAAGAACTTGGAGGTTGTCCTTGTTCTTCATTATTCTCTCCACTTTGTGTAATGTACCAGTATCACTATGAGTGAAAAAAGCCCCAGAGCATGTTGCTACCATTACCATGCTTGACGGTTGGTACAGTGTTTTTAGGATTTATTACCATGACGTGAAATTACCATGGCATTCATGCACATGATGAGTCTATCTAAACCTCTGACCACAACTGTACATAAGGATACTGAAACTTTCACAAAACTAATAACAATAATCTTTAAATAAATAAAAAAAATACAACAAAAACCTACACTTGTGTTTTAAACGTTTTGGGTTAGGGACTGATACTCATGGACATTTTTCAGTGACATTAAAATAAAATAAAGATATATATCTATATCTATATATACACACATACATATATATCGTGGTAATCGGAGCACTAGGTGCGGTGACTGCCAAGCTAGGCGAGTGGCTCCAGCAGATCC